AGACCAGTTACATTCGGGGGGGACCCCTAATGTGTGATAACAGTAATATGCTTTTTAACAATCTAGTGGTGGATCTCTTATCTACTATAATTTCAATGTAATAATGAATGTAAATAACACTTTGAGATATCTACAATAACCACAATATATTATAAAAATATATGTGATTTGTACTAGTAGTAAAAACACAGGTACTGCAGTTTGCTGTTTATATTAGTAATGAAAAGAAATGCTAACTTCTACTTAGAGATTAGTGAAGAGGTAATTTCCCCAAGTTTATGGATGCTATCCATGTTAAGACCCCTACACTATATACTACAACAATCCTCTCAGCACTAGAGTTTAAAAGGACCCCTTCTCTCTTTCTACAGTGGATCATCCCTTGATAATCCCCATCCAGTCTAGTGGTTTAGAATACTACCTAAGTTAATGACTACAAAATTCATCTCTAGTTCAGATCTTTCACCTGAACTCCAAACCTGGACATAAATTCAACCAGAATATCTAACAGGCATCTCAAATTCACCATGTCTAAAACTGAACTCCTAATCCATTCCCCAAACTTGCTCTTCTTACAATCATCCCTATCATTGTTGACAGCAACTCAATCTTTCTAACTGCTCAGACCAAAACCCTTGGAATCATCCTTCTCTCCTCTCTCTCACATACCACATCTGATCTATCAACAAATCATATTGGTTTGATCTTCAAAATAGATCCAGATTCAATCACTTCTCACCATCTCCTGTTACCACCTTGGTACAAGTCACCAGCACCTCTCCTAGTTTACTAGCTTCCCTACAAGTCTCCCTGCTTCTATTGTTCCCCCTTGAAAACTGAGTGATCCTTCTTAAGCTGAAAGCAAACCATGTCACTCCTCTGTTGAAATCTCTGGGAAAAGTCCTTATAATAGCTCTATAGGAGAACTCTGAAATCTGCACCCCACCCCAACCTAATCTACTACTACTCTTTTCTGTTCATTCCATTCTAGCCATACTGGGCAGTACACACTAAATCTGCCTCAGTGCCATGGAACTATTTATTCCCTCTATTTGGAATGCTTTCCCACTAAGTATTAACATGACTAACTCCCTTCCCTTTAAGTCTTTGCCTATATATCACTCTCAAAAAGGCTCACCCAAGTCCACCTCATTTTAAATTACAACATCTTCCCCAGAAATTCTGCATCCCCCTTTCTCTGTTTCTCAAAGCACTTACCTTTGAACATCCTATATTATTATTTATCACCCCTCACTAGTGGGTGCCCACAAGAGCAAAAGTTTGTTTTGTACACCCCCTAGTGTGCCTATCTTGGCACAAAATAGACATGCTTATGTTCAAAGAACAGCACTTCTATCACTGCAAAGGACTTGCCTGTCTCTAGAAGAGTTCCTTGAAGACTCTGGCTCTAATTTGCAGTGTCCTCAATCAACACCTGGCCCTGGGCCTGCCCGATAGCAGGCACCGAAAACACAGATACTCAGGTGATTACAGCCATTTTCACCTGAAACACAATCCTATATGCCAGAGAAAAAAAAGCCAGGTCTTACAGCTGTGCCTGATTAAAGAGTGAGTACAAGACAAATACAGAACATCAGGTTCCATCTGTTAACTTCAAACTGAATTTACATGTTTTGTGCTTCAATTTCTTCATGTATCTAAGAACCATTTCAAACTACCTAAAGTCTAAAAAGAGCCCTTGGTCATTCCTTCCCTCAGCCTTGCCACTCCCTCTCAAGCCCATCTAATCTTATCATGCTTGACTTAAAATCCTAACTCCTAAGTTTCCCCGGATGACCCCAGCTAGAAGCAATTAGACGAACCATACTCTGCCAAGTGCTTTTCACACATTATTCTCATTCAATCCTCCCAAAAGCCCTATGAGGTTGCTACCATTATATACCTATTTCAAAGATGAGAAATCCAAGGTTAGAGAGATGAAGTCACTTGTCCAAGGTTCAACTAGTGTTCAAACCCAAGTCTGACGCTGAAGTCCTATTTCTTTAACCCTACACTATGCTGCTTTTCTCTCTCCAATGGTATAGACGCTAACTATCTTATACATACCACCTCATAGGGTTTGCTGTCACTTCACTTCTCTAGGCTTCAGCTTCTGCATCTGTAAAACAGGTGATAATGTTCAAGATGCCTACCAATATCCCATCCAGGTCTCACAGTATTATGATAGAAAACATTTTATAATTCTTTATACAGTCCAGGCAGGTCAGCACACACACACACTCACTTCAGAACTTACTTAGTCACTGTTAGCAATCCAAAGCGGTGAAAACAGAAAAGCAGTGAAAAAACTCTAAGACCCTGTGTAAAACAACAAAACATTCTTAATTCCTCCCCACTCACATCTATCAAGATGCACTTGAGTCCATTTTTCCATACAGTATGAAAAATTGTTTTCCCCAAAGAAATGTAACCTATGATCCTCAAAGCTTCTGGACTCCACCAAACCACCGGGAAAGGAACTGAAAGCAGGCACGTAGCCCACACAGGGGCGACCATGTTATTTTTTGCACAGGACAAGTGCTCAATAAGAGCTTACTGGACCATGACAATTTTTCCTTCTTTTAGGTTTTCCAAGCCCCAAACCAAAAGCCTATAACATGAGCTTTGCAATTCGGCCCAGGATGGTGCAGGAAATCAAAACAATCTGATGAAGGTGCTGTTAACCTAGTAAGCAAGAACCCCTGAGCGGAGAAAGCCACGTTGTCAACACTCATTGCAGATGAGGGCTGGGTTTTGCTTTAGAGAGACACAATACTTATTTCTCTTTTTTTGTGCAGAGATAACCATCAACAACCCCAACAGAATCCTGGGTTGGCCTTGAAACTAAGAGCTAATCAAGTAAGATCCAGGCATTTATGAACCAAGGCGAGAAGATCTGGAAAAGGGTTCAAAAAAAAAAAGAGCCACAGAAGAACTGATGTAAAATGTGTCCAAAGAGGAAACCTATTGGTATCATTCTGATCATAAAAGTAACAGTTTCACTTGAAATCCCTATCGGCGTTATGATTTACACCGTAGGTCTAGACTCCGACCAACGCCGGCAGAGTTCAGGAGCAGCGTTGGAAACAATAGTCCTGCGCGGCCGAAGGGGAAGAAGTGAATCCAGGCTGTGCAGAGGCAGCTCTCGGGGGCAGCGACAGGGCGGCAGACACGGCCCTCAACAAAGGCGTAAACATGTCCTAGGCTGGAAAAAAATGCTACCGGGCACAACTGTAACTCGGTTTTCTAGCATACTGTCTCTTTAGGGACTCCTCGCACGATTCCCGGTTCCTAAGCCGGTCTTCCCAAGGAGCGAAAGTCATCCATTTAGGGTGAGAGGTTCCTGTTACCAAGGAAGCAGAGAGTCCTCTGGAAAGTGTGCAGATCTCTTAATCTGGACGGAAATGTGTGCCCCACCGAAGGCTTTCACTTTCGGGCGGAAAAACAACCCCGGTGTCACCTCCCCACCGGGGCTACAGAAACCTCGCCACCATTACAAAACAGAAGTGCCAAAGGTGCAGAATCCGGAGCCGGAAGCACTACGAGGCCAGGATCCAGTTCCAGGAGGAAAAA